AGTTCTCCTCAACACTTTGAAATACGGTATTCCAAATTACACCTGCATTTCCTTTTATGTGATAGATGAGCTCTACTTTAAACATTGAAATTCAAATTGCAGTAAGAAAATGAATAAAGAAATTAAAAAGGAGATGACTATTTAAAGGATCCTGTTGTGAGTCCTCTTTTACAATGTAAGCTTCATTAAGGATTTATTTAGACTATTACTTCTTCCTTTTTGAAGAAAGGTGGCTTCCAGTTCGCTGGGACTCCCCACCCCCACCCTCCCCCCAAACCATGCCAAACCAGTCCCGTTTTCCTCATCCTAGAGATGACAGTCATTAATGCTTTTTTTTCTGAAATCCCATTTTAGCTGTTTCCTCTTTGGATACCTCTTTCCCTTATTCTATTGAGAGAATGTAAAATATGGTTTCTTTTTTCAGAGACATTAGTGGGATTTCCTCTCGTGCAGCACAACCTCCAGTCAGAATCTGGGTGGAAAGGGCTGCTGGAGATCTGGGTGTTCCCCTGAGACAGGAGAGAGAGGGAGATTGAGATCCCCAACCAGTAGCTTCTGAGCGAAGTATATTCTCTCTATCTTACTGGTCAAAAAAGGAGGTCGAGCAGTTAAAAGTCAGGAGAGGAGGCAAGAATGTGGACTTTTTTTCTTTTCCTTTTTTAATCACCAAATATTCTTTCTTATCACTTCGCTGATACTTAATGTTTGCTTTTGCTATCCCCAACGTTTTTCACACAGTTGATCAAATTTCCTTCACTGAATCATTCCAACAATGTCTGGGTGGGTAGTGACAGTAATCTGTGTCTGCCTTGCGGCAACTCTGAATTTTGGTTGCTGCTTACTCTTCCCCAGAGCTTAAGGCATATTTCGGGAGTGGGAGTGGGTGACAGTAAGGGTTCTTTTGCAGAAAGAATTGCAGCTTTCTTAAAACAACAACAAAAAAGCAAGAGAAATCAGATATCTAATTATCATGTCCTTCCCCAAGGAAAAAACTAAACATAACCAGCCTAAAATATCAAAGACGGCAAAGATCTGAGAATCCCGGCATCCCTGAACTAGCTCAGGGTCAATGGCTTATTGCTACAGATGTTGAGGAGTTTTTGCCAAAAATAATGACAGTGGGACGGGCGCCTGGGTGGCTCAGTTGGTTAAGCGACTGCCTTCGGCTCAGGTCATGATCCTGGAGTCCCTGGATCGAGTCCCGCATCGGGCTCCCTGCTCGGCGGGGAGTCTGCTTCTCCCTCTGACCCTCCCCCCTCTCATGCTCTCTCTCTCATTCTCTCTCTCTCAGATAAATAAATAAAATCTTTAAAAAAAAAAAAAAAAAAATGACAGTGGGAAGCAGAATGGGTCTTTTAAAAGTTCTTATATAAATTCCAGTTAGGTAACATACAGTGTAATATTAGCTTCAGGTGTGCACTAGAGTGATTCAACACTTCCATACATTACCTGGTGCTCATCACAACAAGTGAACTCCTTAATCCCCATCACCTGTTTCATCCATCCCCCCACCCCCACCACCCCTCTGGTGACCATCAATTTGTTCTCTATATGTAAGAGTCTGTTTCTCGGTTTCTCTCTCTCTCTCTTTTTTTCCTTTGCTCATTTGTTTCTTAAATTGCACACATGGGTGAAATCCTATGGTATTTGTCTTTCTCTGACTCATTTCGCTTAGCATAATCCTCTCTAGCTCCATCCACATCACTGCAAATGGCAAGATTTCATTCTTTTTGATGGCTGAGTAATACTCCATTATGTGTATATATCACATATTTTATCCATTCAGCAATCAGTGGACACTTGGGCTGCTTCCATCATTTGGCTATTATAGATTCTGCTGCTGTAAGCATTGGTGTGCATGTATCACTTTGAAAATTAGCGTTTTTGTATCCTTTGGGTAAATACCAAGTAGTGCAATTGCTGGGTCTTAGGGTAGTTCTATTTTTAACCTTTTGAGGAACCTCCATACCGTTTTCCAGAGTGGCTGCATCAGTTTGCTTTCCCACCAGTGGTGCAAGAGGGTTCCCCCTTCTCCACATCCTCGCGAACACCTGTTGGGGAACCAGAATGTTTACGAACCAGTTGATGTGATGTCTGAGACACACTTTAAAGTAATTCATTTGTGGAGGAGAGAGTAGAAATGGAGGGGGTTATGAATGAAATGAAATTGGCCACCAGTTGTTTTTTTGAAGTCGGATGTAAGGTACAGAGATGTACATTGTAATTCTCTCTACTTGGGGGTGTGTTTGAAATTTTTCTTAATATAAAGTTAGCAAACGGTATAGGCGGGACGAAATTATAGGTAATCAACAAAGGCAAGTTCACATAACACGAAGTACAGTATTTTACCACAAAGGCAAACTAGAAACTCATAACCAAATTATGGTAAAGATGCAGTAAATCAACCATCAGAATTAAAAATAAAAGCAATCCTAGATTACACCTGGGCCAAAAAGGACATAAAAAGTACAAAATGCAATTACCTAAATAAGTATTTATGAAAATGACAACAGAACGTATCAAAACGTGAAATTTGACGAAGTTTGTAGGTAAAGGGGGAAATAATAGCCTCAAAATGCTTTTATTACTTGTGAAAAAGGATTGAAAATCTATGAAGCATCCTGTTAAATGAATTAGAAGAATAGCAGAGCATAAATAGAAATAAAGAATAAAGGGAGCATTAAGAATCTAAAATGCAAATAAGTGTATTTAAACAGATAACAGAATCTAGAAAACAGAAAGAAAGGCAGAAAACGGGAAATCTCTGGGGACTATAAAATTACAGTTCAGACTGAGGATGTAACTCACTGCTCAACTGGGTGACTTATAGAAACATATTAATTGCCAAAATCAAGGCAAGGTATTTACAAGAAACCAATTACCATGAAAGAAACTGAAAAGATATGTTTGAAAAATCTTGTTTCTTTCCTATCCTTACCCTCAAAAGCATCAGTGTAAGATGGCTTTGTAGGTAATGCCTACCAAATTTAAGGAACAGAAAATTATTTTGCCGGGCGCCTGGGTGACTCAGTCTGTTAAGCGTCTGACTTGATTTCAGCTCAGGTCGTGATCTCAGAGCTGTGAGATTGAGCCTCCTGTCAGGCTCTGTACTCAGCGGGGAGTTTGCTTCTCTCTCTCTCTCTGCACCACCCCTCCCCCCCCCGCTCGCATGCTCTCTCTCTCTCTCAAGTAAGTAAATGTAAAAAATCTTTTAAAAAATTAATTTGCTACTTAAACTTCTCTAGGATAGAGAAAAATGTGAAACATCTCTCAACTCGTTTTATTGGTGGATTAATTCATATTCTAGCAATTGATTAAGCTATTGATCACAAGAAAAACTATAGGAACATCCTATTAATGAATATGAATGAAAAATCCAGAACAAAATAATGGTGAACCAAATCCAGGACGATATTAGAAGAACAATCCATCAGAGTCCAACGGAAACAGCTTGTATTCCAGGAATAAAAGTCAGTCCACTATCAGAACATTTATAAGTTTGATTTCCTCTCACAATGGATCAGAGGACAAATTTGGTGTAGTTATTGAAATAAATCCCCAGCTACATTTATTCTACTATTGATTGGAGCCACAGCTATTTCTTACAAAACTTGGGATTAAAAAGACAGTGCCATAATATCAAATAGTGGGTGTAATGGTAGTACATTTAAATTGGAAGAATAAATAGGTTTTATCTCTCCTGCTCATCCTTTTTGACTGGCCCTGAGACTCACCAGTTCTCAGTAGGGTACTGTTCGCTTGACCTAGTGGGAACATCTGCTCCGTCAAGACTCCAGTGGCATATTTTTCTTTTGACAGGGCAAAGTGATCCTAACCTTCATCAGGAAAAATAAGCAGAGAGAATCAAGAACGTTTTGAACAGCAAAGAGCTAGAATTCACTTTGTTGTGGGAAAAATACGATGCTAACAACAGTTGAGCCCATGTCTAGACGAACCACAGTCTGTAGACTGTTGTAGTGACGGCGTTTCAAGTTATTCAATAAAAGATGGATTGTTTAATAAGTCTTGTTTGTTACAGGAAAATTCAGAAACTCTAAATTTAGAGAAGTAATGTTGTGTACCAGGCAGTGACATTATGTTAAACAGAATTGCTTTGTTTGTAAGAAAACTGCAGAATGGGCTCGGGGTATTTTAATACCATTTCCTAGTAGTATGATCATGTTTATTACGATAGTCTAATTTACCTAAAGGATTTGACGAAGGTGATTTTCTGACAGCATTGTGGGTTACTGGTAAAAATAGATAAAAAATTACATAGCACTTACTCTGTGCCCCGCACTTTCCTGAAGTATTGAAGGATATTCTATTAACTTGCTTAACTGTCGCAACAACCGTATGAGGTGGATATTACTATTTCCCATTAAATACGCAAGGAAGGAAGGGCACTTGGGTGGCTCAGTGGGCTAGGAATCTACCTTCGGCTCAGGTCATGATCCCAGGGTCCTGGGATCGAGCCCCGCATCGGACTCCCTGCTCAGCGGGAAGCCTGCTTTCTCCCTCTCTCACTCCCCCTGCTTGTGTTCCCTCTCTCGCTGTGTCTCTCTCCGTCAAATAAATAAATAAATAAATCTTAAATAAATAAATAAATGCACGAGGATTGGGTGCTCAGTTGGTTGAGCGTCTGCCTTGGGCTCAGGTCATGATCCCGGGGTCCTGGGATCCAGCCCTACATCGGGCTCCCTGCTCAGTGGGGAACCTGCTTCTCCCTCTCTTCTCGGCTGGTGCCCTCTCTCGCTATCTCTCTCTCTCAAATAAATAAATAAAATCCTAAAAAATAAAAATAAATAAATACACTAGGGACCCGAGAAGCTTGTACAACTTCTCCATCTAGGAAGTGGGAGGGTGGGCACCAGCAGTTCAAGCACCCTCCCCTATCCAGAGTCTAGAGGACGCCCCCCTCCTTGGCAATGAGCTCTCCCTGTACAGCAGGGAAAGTCGCTCCCTTTTCAGGCTCTAACAAGCCCTTTTGCTTTCCTCAGGGACCTGATGCCGAGGACCCTGGAGGGGCAGATCACCATGGAGAAGACACCCAGTTACTTCGTCACCCGCGAAGCGCCCGCGCGCATCTCGGCCATGTCCAAGGACACCAAGCTCATCGTGGTGGTGCGGGACCCGGTGACCCGAGCCATCTCGGACTACACGCAGACGCTGTCCAAGCGGCCCGACATCCCCACCTTCGAGAGCTTGACGTTCAAGAACCGCACGACGGGCCTCATCGACACGTCGTGGAGCGCCATCCAGATCGGCATCTACGCCAAGCACCTGGAGCCCTGGCTGCATCACTTCCCCATCGGCCAGATGCTCTTCGTGAGCGGGGAGCGGCTCATCAGCGACCCGGCCGGCGAGCTGGGCCGCGTGCAGGACTTCCTGGGCCTCAAGAGGATCATCACCGACAAGCACTTCTACTTCAACAAGACCAAGGGCTTCCCCTGCCTGAAGAAGGCCGAGGGCAGCAGCAAGCCCCACTGCCTGGGCAAGACCAAGGGCAGGACCCACCCCGAGATCGACCGCGAGGTGGTGCGCAGGCTGCGCGAGTTCTATCGGCCGTTCAACTTGAAGTTCTACCAGATGACCGGCCAGGACTTCGGCTGGGATGGATGACCATATAATTTAAAAAGAAAAAAAAAAAATCAGAATATAATATATTTTTTTACCAATCGGTAGAGAAAAGGCAGTTTAATATTTGTGCTGAAAATGTTTGTTTCAGTATTTTTTTTTTTTTTTTTGCAATGAATGTTAAGAGCGTGTTCTCACCTCCTCCCCCATCTGCTTGTGTCACTGGCCCAAACATTTGGATAAACAAAAAAGGAAAACCTCACTCACCGAAATACTTGGCAATTTTCGATTTCTGTTTTATGTTTTATATGCACAATTATAAACTCTGAGCATCGGTCACCATGAAAACTTTCAAGAAAGTCCTGAGGGTAAATCAGTCTCTGTTTCTGTCTCTGCCTCTCTCTTTCTGTCTCTCTTTTCACAGGTCCCAGATAAAACGCTCTCTCCTTACATTTCCTTCTTTTTTTTTTTCCCGTGCCACTTCTTCAAAACTATTTCCCAATTAATAATACTCTAGGTTTGCCCACGATTATTCACAGTTAACCAACAGTGCTTTCAAATAAAACACCTTCTCCCATCTTTGCATGATGTGATAGAAGAAGGTAGCACATAGAGATTAAGATCCCCATTTTAGAATAAAGAAACTGAGTCTCAGGAAGGTTGGGCAAAAAACCCCATCTTCCACTTGTTCCCTTTTTCATGCCCCTTCTTCCAGAGAGAATGAGAAGTAAGACAGCTGTACTTTTAGAAACAGTTGGCTAGTTTGGGGATGATTGGAGATAGGACAGAGAGGGTTTCCTATTTATTGCCTTCAAAAGTTCGAGGCCAGCCTTGTGACACTCGGTCATGAGGAGTCACCAGCGTTCAAGGACCCACCACTCAGACCTGGGCACAGTATCTTTTAAGAGCCAATCTTGGCTCGTTGAAATGGCCTGAGCTATGGAACTCTCAGCTTAGTTGAGGTTGAGAGAAATTACTGGATTCTTATCTGGAGAACGAGATGGACAATCACACTAGGAACAGGACAAAAAGTAGTAGGATAACTTACTTAGTTGTGGTTTTGACTTTTTTTTTTTTTTTAAAGAAAAACCCACTTCAGTAAGAGCTTACAAGTAGGAATCTCATTTTTCTTTCGCTCTCTTTTAACAAAGAAAATCCACTTCTCTTTTTAATACCTCATTTCTAATCCTGGAGCCAATACTAAAAAGATGAATAAATGTCATTATTTTTCATGGGTGGAGGACTATCACTTTGTCACTTTATTTTCCCCACTTCCTGTTTGTACTGAGAATAACGGAATATTCATTAATACTTGGAAAATATTCTAAGAAATACAGATGTGGGTAAAATGGAGGTTTTTCTTCTCCCATCTAGTTCTCTCATCCCCCATTTAAATAGCTCAAATAAATCAATAGTTTACTAAAGAGTATTCCTTTCCTCTCTGAGTGGGCATTAACAAGATTAGCATTAATGGGAATTAAATTGGCTTAGAGAGAAGCACATGTGCACGAAATATATAAAACATTTATAATTAGTCTGTCAGCAACATTTTATTACAGGTTTAAACCCAAGAGGAAAATGTCTCCTATCTCCTGGAACTTTTCCATATCTGCAAAAATTTAAAGGAGCAGACACTACGGTATTCTTAAATAATTATTCTTTATTTCTCCAGTGGTGTCCAAAGAGACTAAAGTTGCTGGAAAATATGCAGAGTGCAAATGTGCATCAACCCTAAATGCTGCATCAGGTGAAATAAGTCTTTCCTGAGAGGCCTAACACAGGATTAAAATGCAGGGAAAAAATTATTTAAGTTTCTAGATATTCCAACATTGCTCCAAACCTTTGAATTTCTGTATGAATATCCCGTTTATGAGAGTTAAAAAGAAAAAAAATCCCAGGTCTCCTTTGCCCAGTTGATTTTAAGGTGCCCTTAATTTTCCAACTCAACACCCTGTTTTCGCTGTACTTAAATCATCACTTTTAGAAACAAGATACTCATCTTAAACTCTTTGCATCTTTTCTCTTAACTCGTTTTGTTTGTGCCTCTGATCCTTTTCTAAGCATTTACTTGGCAATAAGCAAACATAGCTTGCACAAGGAAAGGAGTGCATCTAACACTTGTATTGGGCAATCTTCCTCTTTCTGTGTTAAGAAATAATAAAAACGGAATTGAGTTCAAAGCATCTCTTCTATTGTAGATTTTTTTTTGAAATTCATATTATTTAAATAATGAATGACTCTAGAGCCTTCCAGGAAAACTGTCTAACCTCTAAAAGTTTGTAAGAGTGTCAGAAGTTCTAGATTCCAGCAAAACATCTACAGATCTAGGGTCCATATACTCGAAGTTTCTTCCAGAACAGGAATTGTACTTACTCCTGCTATGTGTGGCTTCAGACTTCCTTTGTCCATTTAGCTGTACCAATTAATAGGTTTTGTTCTTGATTTGAACATCTTAGCCATGCTTCCTCTGAGCCGTCTGCTCCCTGGCCATGCCTACTGACCACCTACACTCTTCTTAGAGGTAGAGCATTCTCTCTCTAGAAGAGCAACTAGAGGTCTGGAGCTTTATCCTGAACAGTTTGCTCGTGAGGCCCTGTCTATGGTGTAAAATTCTGTAGGTAGGGTAACTTTTAGGGGAAATTCATTTATTCTAATGACTGGAGCTTGATAAGCTGCTAGAGAATGGATATTTATTACTCAAGGAGTATTACTCCCACTGTACTTTTCCTAATTTCAAAGATCTTCAAAGTCAGAATAAACCTAACAGATCAAATCGCCATTTGGCCCTTAAATCCTTCCTTTAACTAGTTGCACAGGGGGGTTCAAACATGAACGTGTCTGGGAATTTCTCACTCTTGATTTTTCTATTGTTGTAAAGAGGATCAGTATCTCCTCAACACCTTCATCCGGTTCTGCAGGCTGAGATCCACCAAATCTGTTACACGTGAAGATACTTACAATTCAACATGTGAATACATAAAGGTGCATATGTAATAATGGTACATTACATTCACCTAGCAGATTACCTTTTCATTGTCCCTTAAACCAACAGCCGCTCTCCACTCTCAAAGAGTTTGACTTTCCAGATGAGCAAGTGAACACTTAGGAGAACAGTGGTTCTCCACAAAAGATGACTCTGCTCCCTGGGGGGATCTCTGGAGATACTTTGGTTGTCCCAAGGCTGGTGGAGTGTAGGGCGCTTCTAGTGGGCAGTGTGATGCCCAGGAGAGCCCCCCACAGCAAAGAATCATTCTACCCAAAATGACAGCAGTGCTGAGATTCCTGGTTTAAGAAGAAGTAAAGCATATACCAGCAAGTGCATGTCTGAAACAGGTCTATAAACCAGATTCTAATGAATGCTTGGCTGGGACGTCTTTCCCTCATCGCCCTAAGTCTTTCTCTTGCAGACCTTTCTTTCTCCCTCTCACTCTGTAAGTCATTCCATCATAGTAAGCAGATGAGTGTTTAACGTCATGCCTTGCCAAGAGGAGTGCAAATGAGAAACTTCGCTGAATTGGGTTTTTATAGCCGAGATGCACGAGCTGTTTATAACAAATGGATAGTTGCATTTCTTTGAAGTGGAATCCGTCAACTTTGAGTGGGAACATCACATGCCGATAAAACATTTTGGAAGGTGTTTTCAAGTTCAAGTCCTGCAGTTTCAATTTGCCTCCAGGACCGTGCCGTTGAAAGTATTTTTTGTTACCTGACACAACCATCATGTCGAGAGACAAGTAAATGGGTCCCACTTCTGTTAAACAGTAGAATTCAGACGGATGTGTTAGGGCTCGCGAAGGGCCCTGAGCTGTTGAGTAATCACAAAGGAAGGCACGTTCTTTCTGCCGTATATTCTAGAAACCCCAGAATTTGGTGTCTAATTTCCATAGAATCAGGGAAGAGAAGAGCTTAGGATCACCAAACATGGGGAAGTGTGGCTGGGATTCAGTCCAGGAAAATTCTTCTTGTAGAAGTAAAAGACCCTACCTATTCTCCTGGTGTATCCTGTAATCACTGAAGAATGAGCCTTTTCAAACCCAAACCTCATGCCCTGTTGGGGAAACATCCCATTATAGCCTATCTGGTCCTTGAAACATCTTCAAAGTGCAAACGGGTTTGCGTTCAGTCTCAATTCTATGGATGAAAAAGAGAGAGGGAAATTTATAAACCTGTGTGTCCCATCATGGAATGTTGGAATGGTAGGCCTTCCCTTTAGAGCTTAAAGAAAAGGTGAACGTGGAGATAATCACGAGGCAGTACAACTTTATACAGAGTCATAAAATAGCGGATTTTAGCTATGCCAGGAGGAAAGAAAACAAAATAGAAATTACTTCTAATATATGAACCCATTGTGGGATATTAAGAAATGTCAGTATGTCTCAGACTCCGTTTCAGTTCCTTTTAACTGTCCATTGTGTTCCTTTAATAGCTACATGCTCAACAACTTAGTCTCCTTCAGTTTTACCGTCAAAATAAAAGCTAACAATAAATGGGGAAAGTGCTTCCTGCTATGAATCCTTTCCATCCCACAATTCCCGGGTCTGATGTTTTAGGTGCATCTGAAGGATCAGATATGATGAGGTATGCTACCCTTTATTAGCCTTGCCTGACTGGGATGTGATCAGGCTGGATTTTTAGCGCGGTGCTAGCTGATGACTCAGAAGAGGACGTTTAGGGCACCGTCTGGTCCACATATGGACAAACTATAGTCTTAGCTTCACGTCCTTCCCAAAGTCACTTTCTAGTAAGCCCCGAGTTTTTACCACCCCTGGGGATTTGTCTTCATTGCAAACAGGACTGATGTGCCTTTTTCCCTTCCCGCGTCCTCTCCGTGCTTCCTACACTTTCTAGTGCCTTCTCTCCATGTCCTGCCTGTGTCCTGTGAGTCCTCATATCTCAGCCTCTACCATCCTGCACCATGCTCAGTGGTGTCCACTTCCTACCTCAGATTCCTGGGGGAAATTGCTCTCAGCTTCGGCACCTCTAGAGAAAGGAGTCAGACTGCTGTGGATACCAGGATGGGTGGAGACCAGATGGATTTAACTTTCCCCAAGAGTGTTTATGTGAGGAAAAAAAGGCCCAAAGGAAGACGGATGAAGCCGAGTACGCAAGTACCAGAGCACATTGTTTTGACAGGAGAGGGAGGTGCTGTTGGAAGGACACTTCCCAGGGAGGCTTCCAGTGCCCCACCCCTCACCATACACCTGAAGAACAGGGTCGGCACCTTGGCGTTCCAGTTCCAAAGGCATGTCTGCCTCTGGTCTGAGCAGTGGCGTTTTCCCAGAGAGTCTTATCTAAGCTCATATTTCTTTATTTCAAGCCCGCAACAGCTGGTCAACCAGAGAACAGAAAGAAGCAAGAAAACTTTCCCTTGCCATTTTTCAGCACGAATGAAAGTTCTCGATCGCCTCCCATCAACTGATGCCTTTAGAGTTCGAACCCAATTCTTCTCTCAGACTGTTTGATGCTACTCTTCAAATCCCAGATCAGTGCTCTGTTAGCAAAGACCCAACTATTCCATAATAACAACAACTTACTTTATATAAAATGATTCAAAGCATTTTTACATCCAACTTTAGGCTGGAATAGCTTCTCTGTTGTTGGTTTTCCTTTCTTTCCAGATAAAAAAAAAAGAAGCTTATATATTACCCCATTTTTTCATTTCTCACAAATCACATTTCCCCCCAACTGAATGACTTGCAAATCATATCATTTCTCTTCTGTGTGAACTTTTACCTTTTAATATTTTCCTGTATCCAAATCCTTCAGTGAAAAGTAATCTTGTGCCTTTATTTTTGTGTATTCCTCCTTGCTTTTCAACGAGACTCAGAATTGTGCCTTCCTCCACTTTTTGCTAACCATCTGGCCCCAGAATTATACCTTATTTTTCATTTCAAAAGTTGGCCTTCAATATACCTCCTTTTATCCCCTTTACTTTTTCTCAGGTATCTCTCAATTTTAGGAAAAGTTCTCTTTAGAGAAACATCTCCTTTCCACCAGCTTTCCAGCATACGGCGTTTGAAACTTTCTGGGGCTGGAGCTGTGTTATCCCTCCTTACCCACAAAAGCGCAGAAGGAGCAAACAGCATTGACTTCCAACTGTAAAATGATTTCCGTATTGAACACCCTCTCGCTCTTCTACCTAGCCATAAATAATGAGCTCTTTTTCAGACTCTTTGGCCCCTGCTATTTGATGAGGCCATCAATAAAAAGTTCTGTATCAACGGAATGATAAACTCCACTAGCCCGAGCCATATATAATGAATACCCAGAAAAAATTGGAAGCAGATATGTTTTTACCAGCCGCATCCTGCCCTCTAACTTGAGTTGCAAATCTCCCACGTGGTATCGATGCCCAGTGTCTGGTTTTCACATCAGTCCTTCAGTGTGTGCCCTGAGGTTTCTCAGCCAGTCTGTTCTCTGCTTTTCCATGCCCGTTTATTCACTGAATTTACTCTCTCATTTGTCCAGCCTGATGGTCATCCATTTCACTATCACCTCTTTATTCCTACTATCACCACTATGATACTTTCTAGGTGTCTGTGCAGAGTGTGCTTTCCCCAATGTTCTCGCATCTTCACCAACACGACCTTCATCAACTACTTTATTTAAAATGTTCGTCCATTCGTGTTTGAGTCCTGAGATCCAGCCACATAATAAATCATGTGATTATGTATTCATTAGACTTTCCTGGCATGTCACACTTCTATATACCTTGAAAGGGAGCCATGCTTTGCCCAAACCGCCCATTTTCTTGATCTTACTTTTTTTTTTTTTTTTCAGAAAATGGTGTTCCTTTAATCCATCAGCTCTTCCTGTGCCTTAATGATGAAACCCTATGTCTTGTGGATAATTTGGGGAATAGTCTTGATTTGACCACAAATAAGGAAGTCTTGCGTGAATCATTCAGTACCACTGAACCTCAGGGGTTTTTTTAGTAAATAAAAAAAAAAGATGCAGAGAATAAACTGTAGTCATTGCAACTGAAATGTCTGGAAACGTTTTATGGCAGGGGCCATCACTAATAATAATTTTTCTTCTGTCTCTTAAAATGGTTATCATTAGATCAATCACTTTACCTATTTCCAATAGGCCATTGGAAACTATAACCAAAGTGTATTTTTATTAGTAAGATTTAGTGCAAGCTGGCCACCAAAATTTTGTTCCCTCTGTCACTTGGGTCACA